GCAACGCCTTGTTGCTGAAGCATGAAAAGCAAAGCAATGAGTGGCTGGAGATAAATCTGGAGAGGCAGGCGGCGGTCAGGTGATACATGACACTATATACCATGCTAATAAGTCTAGAATCTGTTCTTTAAGTGGCGGTCAGGTGATAAATGACACTATATACCATGCTAATAAGTCTAGAATCTGTTCTTTAAGCAATGAGAATTTCTATATAGGAAGGAATTAGGGCTAGTGTTCTGGTTAGAAGATAGGCTAGGGACTAGTCTCCAGGCTATGTTTGAAGCACAAGCACACTCTGGAGGAGCCAGAGGTGATACAGGGGAACCCGAGCCCCAGGCTCACTGCCAGCCCGCTGGGCGCCTTCGAGCAGGGGAGGGCGTTCGCTTAGTCAGATGTGCACTTTAGAGAGCTCCCACTGGTGGCTTGATGGAGGGTGGATTTGAGGAAGCCAAATGGATGGATTAGTGTGATGAGGGACACGGGTTGCAGAATGGCAATGAATTAGATAAGAAATTTATGAGGTAAAACCAATAGAATTTATTGATTAATTTGTTGCAGATGGGGAATGGTGAGGAGTCAAGAATGACTTCTGTGATTCTAACTTGGAAGAGGGGCAACTTTGGGGGGGAAGATGATGGGTCCTATTTTGACAGTTTGAGTTTGATGAACTCATGGGCATCTAGGTGTAGATGTCTAGAGCCATTTGGTCCATGAATTTGAGGCTCAGGGGAGAGGTCTAGATTGGAAATATGTATCAGGGACTTGCAGCATGTGGACGAAGGTGAACCACAGGTGCACATGAGATCACTATGGAAAGCATGTAGGATGAGAAGACCAGTGGCCTGAGCAAGAAAAATCAAGGAATACCAACATTTTAGGGGCAGGATTGGAAATGAAGACTCCAGATGAGTCAGAGAAAGTGGTCCAAGAGATAAAAGAATAAGAGGTAAGAATGAAGAGGGAGACGGAAGTCAAGCCAAGGGAACAAAGAGTTCTGAGTGGAGGAGTGATCAAGACCATGGGATGTAGACACGTTCAGAAGGGTGATGACTGGCGTGTTCACTGGATCTGTCCTTTGGAGCAATGATGATATGGCTTCAGTAGAGAAGATCAGATGGAAAGAATGAGAGATAGGAGGCGGAGATAATCCTCCTTTGAGGCAGAAGGACCAGGAGAGAGGGACAGCTTGAAGACAGAGGGCAGAGAGGGATTAAGTGATGGAGCCAAGTCCTGGAGGAGGGACCAAGGACATGGGTGGAGGATTGGCTTTCAATACACAGGGATTGTAGTGATTATTTTTACTCTTTGTGCTTTAAGTAATTTCTAAAATTTTATTAGTGAGCATACATAACTTTAATAATAAAAAATTACAGTTATTTTATATTTTAATTAAATTTAAATACTTTAAGGTATAATGCAAAACCATAATGATGAGCACTCATATCTATTAAAAAACTAATAGTAGAACTAAATAGAATGACATATCCTGAACATTTTATGTAAGTGTGCTTGTTTCCTGCAAGTACTTATCCGGAGACACGTACTAAGGTTTAAAAAAAGTCAAGGGAAAAAAAGAGATAATTTTTCTAACTGTAAAAGACCACCATTATCTTATTTTAGCAGTGAAATGCCACAGTCCAACTCATGGAAAACACGCAAGGGCTCAGTCTGAGAATTAGATTGAGATGTAAGGATCGCCTCTCCCAGGTATCAGGGTTATCATGGGAACTTGTGGCAACTGTTGCATTAGATGAGTGTGTGCATTTCTAACTCTATATGAGGCCAATCCACTAGTGTTAAAGGATAAATTCTAAAAATGTGAAATCATGGCTTTCATCCAAATTACAATGACCATGGTGCTAAAGATTTTGGTTACCTTGCTAATTAACAAAAGACCCAGAGAGATCTTACAACTGCACCAAAAGAGAATTCAAACAACACAGACATATTAATAATCAGGAATGCTAAACTAGCCTTTACAATTTACAAATAGATGCAAAACTGATTAATATCTACAACACAACAACCGATTATTGCAATAATCATTTATGAGTAGGACACAATTTATTTGCATTTCTATGCACAAGAATTGTTTGCATTACTCTAAGTTTTCTACAATCTGCAGAGTTGTCAAATAGCTCAAAAACAGTGAAAAGTGCAGGCCCCTATAGAATCAGATGACCCTGAAGGCTGCTGGATGAGACACCCAGCGATCTATTTTCCTGTCCACTCCAAAGTCTTTCACACTTTTTTCTGGCAGTCTTCCCTCTTGTGATCATAATAGTCTCAAAGGAAGACTATTCTTGATCAAACTCAACAGACATTTTAGGGAGTGGACCAAATGCTTTTGCTATCCAACAGAATCTCAGCCTGTTTTTGGGTCCTCACTATCAAGCTGTCAAGAATCCTGCACTCTCTGAACACAGGCATCCCCAGGCAACCTTGCCCACCCCCTGACCTGACCCTCTGTGCTCCCAGCCCACCAGGCTTGCACCTTGAACCAGGCCTGAGGAGATGGCTGCCCCCTCTGAGTCCCTGGCTTACCAAAGAGGCATCGAGACAAGAGAATTATCAAATTTCACAGAGAGACAAACCATAGGATGCCTGCAGAGGGCCAAACCTACCCTCCAGAAAGGGTTTTGAATCTAGTTAATGCATGGAAAAGGCTCAGTTCACCTCCAGAGTTCTGCTCCCTAAAAGCTCTGAAGAGGCCCTTTTGTAATGGCTGGCACGCCATGAGGACAGGTGTAATGAAGTGCCTGCCTCCACCACCAAACCACGCCAGACTGGCCCCTGCAGGATCCACGGGTTCCAGGAGAATGGCATCCTAATTAGCCTGCCAGGAGGAGCTGGCTGCAGAGGGTGTCCCAAGTAGCTGGATGAATGGACTACTGGATGGAGTTATTTAGAATCGTCCACTTGCGCAGTGTTGAGTGTAGGCCAAACACAATTTCCATTTTAGTGTTCTTGCTGCAAAGCTGTTCTTTCTGATCATAATTAGCCAGCATGTTCAGCTGCTTCTTAAGGGCACTGGTTCCTAATAAAAATACAACCCAGATCACTGGCCCAGATGACAGTCTGGTCTTCCTGTCTGCTGTGGCAGGAAGACATGCAACTAATAAACCCATAGCAGTACGGAGCGTTTCAGCAGAGGCCACAGACTTATTTTGTATGGTTGAAATCAAGATCAGCTCAGAGATAACCATCTTATATACTCTAGATTCTTTGTGTAATAATAATACTTTGAGCAATAATAATAATAGTGTAGAATATTCTAGATTCTTCTACATCAGAGGCTCTGAAGGAAAAACAGCTGGGAATCTCAGCCAGCTCCAGATAGATCCATTTAGGAGAGACAGAGGCGAATGAGGGACTAACGATGTTCTTAGTCACTTTCTCAGTGAAATGCAGCAAGTGAACACCTAACGAGTTATCCACCATGTACCAGGCACTCTGTTGGCCATCACAGGTACAAAGAGCATTAACACATGGACCCTGCCCGCCCTTCAGGGGTTCATGGTCTTGCAGAAAGACATGTATTTAGACTAGTAATAAATACTCAAGGGGAACTATATATTATGGTATAGGCTTAAGTAGTGAAAGGTTAAATTGAGCTGGTGTGCTGGAGAGCTTCTTTGAGGAGGTACTGGGTAATCATGAAGAATAACAATCCAGACCTGGGAGCATTCCAGGCCAGGGCGCAGGCTCTGAGGTGGGAAGTTTGGCCCATCAGGGAGCCACCATGAAATGGTGTGGTTGGCACGTGCCGAGCAAAGAGCAGAGTGGCCTGGGGTAGGGTGAGGCTGCACAGGGACCAGGAGGTTGGGTTTGTTCTAAGCCCTACAGAGTTTATACAGGGGAGGATGTGGTCCAGTTATATTTTAAGAAGATCAATATTTCTGCTTGTGTAAGAACAGTTTGGAAGAGAACAAAAGTTGAAGCAGGGGACCAGTTAGAGGCTGTTGCAATTGTCCTAGTGAGAGGTAATGGTGGTCTGGAAAGGTGGAGAGAGGGGAGCAAATTCCAGCTATGTCCTGAAACACAACTGATAGGACTGCTGATGTGGTGGATGTGGGCCTGGGGTCGGGAGAGGGAAAAAGGAACCGAGGGCTGTTCCTGGGCTTCTGACTTGAGTAACATAGAAGTCCTTGAGGATGCTGACATTGAGGTTAGAATGGCTGCAGTAATGAGTTGAGAACAGAGTTAGAGTTAAAAAAAAGTCCAAAGACACAGTTTGAAGAATTGAAGTTGAAGGTGTCTATGAGACAACCAGATAGAGATGTCAAGTAATTGGGCTCCACATAGGATCCTGGAGGTCTGTATAAAAATGTTAAAGATCAAGATATCTTTTCAAGGAAAAGACACCCCGTGAAATCACAGGGATGCATGGGATTTCCTTGGAAGAGATTCTAGGAGAGCAGAGAGGAGTGACCAGGTGAAGTCAGAGAAGAGGAGGGAAGAATGGCAAGTGGGGTTGGAGGAAAGCCAAGAAGGAGCATGTTTGATGAAGGATGGTGCTAAGCACCGCTAAGAGGTCGAGGAAGGTGAGGAAAGAAAGGGCCCACGGAATACTCAGCATGGTCTGCACCAGAGAAAACATCCGGATGTTAACTATTGTTGTGGTTGTTGTTGACTCTCAAATCAGCCCCAAGTGGAGGCTTTGTTAACTTATTTCAAAGTTTGCCCTGGGGACGATGCTAAACCAGGTACCCTTGCAGAGCAGCCCTGTGTGCAGGGCCACCCTGGCGGCCTCTGCCCCAAATCCAGGCTCTCAGGGGAGGCCCTCCAACTATTCCTTCTCATCCGTCCCCCTCTCAGGCTCCATGTCACCTTTTACCTTTCCTAAAAGCAGAGCTGTGTTTTTCATTTGAAACTCTGTAAAGCATCATAACATTCTACTAATTGTTTTGGGTCTGAGCCACAAGTAAAGGTTAAGGGACTTAAGAACACAAGAGAAATCTGATTATTGTCCATGGCGACAACTTGGCTTTGCTACTTACTGTTTTCGGACAGCTCCACAATGTAATAAAGAACTGGGCTGTTTCCATCAAAGGGGCGAACCCAAGAGAGCATCACGGTGTGACTATGGGAAGAATTCAGGCTGGCCAGGAGGTTCTGAGGCGAATGAGGCAGTTCACTTGGATACAAAGGAACAAAAAGAAAAAAACACACATCAGGATTGATGGTTAGCCTGGTTCCTACGTTGCACAGTCCTGGTGTGTAATGTTTTGAAAATGAAGAACATAAACTGTGCCCCAAACACAAATACTAACTATCCCCCTAAGAAGAAATACCATTCACAATGTTGTTTGTTTTCCAAACATAATTTGGTTTAATCCTTCTGGTAGGTATGAAACCACTAATGACTCTGTAACTTAAATTGGGTGGGGAGAGCCAATTTTTACACAGTATATTATTTAATTGAGAAAACCTGGTCAACATTTGTCTTTACAACTAGAAGCTGTTAATGGAAATGCAGTAAGCCATATAAGCCAGAAAAGGCCTGGGAACTACGATTTAACATGCAAGTTTCCAACACTAGCCATTTGGAGCTACCAGCCAAAGGCCCATCCGTTTTCTCAAAGTGGCTGCCTCATTACCAACAGCATGAGGTTAGATCGTCATTCTGTCTTCTGTCGGGTAATGGGGATTTGGGAGAAGCACTGGAAGGGAGGTGTGGTGAAGACAGTAATTAAAACCTTAGGGAAATAGTAAATAACATATCAGCAAGGCTATAAAATGTAAACACAACTGAAGCAAATTCCAAAAAGAAGTGAGTAATTGAGAACGTCTTTACTAGAATTTACTGGCGACGAAGCTTCAAAATCCAACAGCATGGTTTCTCCCACCGAGGAGTCTGCAACCTTACAATCCTAAGCTGCCCAAGTGCTGTATTTAACCCTTCCCCTCATGAATGTGGCAGCAGGACTCTGTTTTGCGGCTTTTAGGGACAGCCTTTCCTTCTATAAACTTTCTAAGTCAGCGCTAGGAGAAGGGGATGCGGGTGTGACTCGTTTCACCCCCTAACTAGTTTGTGATCTCTCTTAACATCAATTACTGCTGACCCACATAGTTCAGCACAAAACTCATAATTATACATGATATTTTTAATTTAAAAAATGTACTTGTTACACTTGGAAATTTATTAAACTGTTACGTGCTTGCAGTTATCTAAGAAACACAGCTTTCTCTAACCCATGCACACCATTAATAAACAAACCAATATTTCTAATGTGGACCGTGACTTTAAATTAGTACAATAAAGAATGAACTTGAGCCTGAAATGTTGTCTTGTTTTCTCTTTAATTGTGAATTAAGTTTTAAATCAGAAAAGGAGCTGATATTTCTTTTTGAGTTCTCCAATAACCAAATCTCCCTTACATTTCCAATCAAGACCAATATGAAGAAAATGCCAGGACAAAAATATCTAATCTACTTCTCCCAAACCCCTACTCCTAATCTTTTTCTAAGAGTTGGCATGGTCTGAAACCAAACTAAAGTTGTTGAAACAGTCTTGCCTGAAGACAAACGAAGAATAAGCTTGGATAAATATATTCAAATAAGACTGTGGTATAATAGTTTGCTTAGTCTTTGTCCCAGGTGGGGTCCTGGGATGGAACTTCTAAATCCTTAGAATTTCCTGAGTGATAGGACTGTCTTTGCTATTCATGGTGGGTCCCTCAGACCACACCGAAGTTTATGCAGATGAGGTCACTCATGGTGGACCCCTACATAGTTCCAGGAGGGGGGCTGTCCATGCAGGAAAGATCAAACATGTGATTAGAGGGTTGGGGCTTTGAGCTGGTGATATCAGCCCGACCTTCTGACCTCCTGAGAGTAGAAGGGAGGGGCTAGAGATTGAATGCAATCACGTGGCCAATGATGCAATCAATCATGTCTATGTAATGAAACCTCAATAAAAATTCTGGACACCAAGCTCAGGTGAGCTCCCTGGTTGTAATCAGACTGGTAAGTGCCAGGAGAGTGATGCATCCTGAGCACACAGAAGCTTTGTGTTTGGACCCTCCCAGACCTTTCCCTATGCCTCGCTTCATTCGTCTGGTCCTGATTTTTATCCTTTATAATAAAACTGTAATCATAAGTAGAGCACTTCACTGAGTTCTGTGAATCATTCTAGGGAATTATTGAACCTGACAGGGTAGTAGGAAGCCCTAAATTTTAGTGAGCTGGTCGGAAGCACGGGTGGCCTGGGAGCCCTGGAGCTTGCAGCTGGTGCCTAAAGTGAAGACAGTTTCATTGGAGTCAGTGCCCTTCACCTGTGGGGTCTGTGCTAACTCCAGGTAGTCACTGTCAGAATTGCATTGTAAAGACAGAAGATTTTCTGACATGACAAACGTTAACTTAGAAGGATGGCAGGGCTAGTCGGAGTTCCGGGCCATTTGAGCAAATCCCCCCATTCAGATGTTAGTTCACAAAGTCCTTGGAATATGCTTCTGCACAGTCCATCTGTCCATCCCTTAGGGCTTGCCGACTTTTACTCAGGTAGATTCTAGTAAGAGTGCTTCTGATTTCTCTACTCCTAGCAGATCATAAGCAACCAAAAAGAAGGCCATAGGGCCTTCTAGAAGTCGGCAGGCTGAACAGCAAAAATGGTAGCCAAGAGCCTGAGACAGAGGAATTAAAAAAAAAAGGACTTTAAAAAAAGATTGAAAAAAAATGACTTAGGAACTTAAAAGGCAAAGAAGCCTTGAGACATTTAGTGCAGGAACTAAGACCTACGAGCCCAGAGGTGCCCAAGGACATCACCGTCCAGGATGCATCTAGAAGTGAGCCTTCATCCATGCTGCCCAACAAAGTCCACTTCATTGGCTCATAGCACACCCACGATGATGGCTCAATGCAAAATGTGATTTTTACACATATCACAGGACTCAGAGTCGGAAGGAAATTTAGATTTTTCCCTAGTTCCAGCCTCTACCCTATATGAAAATCTCCTCTATAATATCTCTTGTGTTCAATACTATCTGTTTTGCAATGCAAAGAAGCTTTTAATATACATTAGAAACATAAAGTATTTCTTTAAATGAAAAGTTTTGGTTATCTGGAAAATTAAGCTCTGTGAAATACTTGACTAACCCATCAATAACCGATAAATGGGGCTTTAATATATTCTGAATCAATTTCAGGGAACCCTATCTAATAGGAATAGATTGTGTCTCGGCATTTCTCTGCCAACTTTGAGAGGAGATAAACGATCAGCAGAGTGACTCACAGACAGCGACATGCAGACAGGGTGACAAATGAAAGAGATCTGAGAGAACAATGGAAATGAAGCCCAGTGCTGAGTCATTTCGTAATTTAAAGAGAATGGGGTAAGAAATCACCATCAAGCAGATTACACCACAATAATATCAGAAATTAACAACAACAACAAAACCCAGACTGTATGGGAAGGAGATTAAGCGAGGTGTGTTTGAGAAAAACAACTCTGAAAAAGACTCAGGAGAAAGCAATTGGTAAAATTGTGGCTGTAGGGGGAATTGCTCTGGCAGAGGAGGATCAGATAAGTCTTTTTCTATATAAAAAACATCGCCTCTTTAAGGCACAATGATGACTTGGCCAAACCTATCTTCTCTGACTTCACTCTAAGGATGAAGATGATGGGGGCCTGATAACTCCTGAGAAATGGTATTAAATTGTTCACTCCTTATTATGGCTTTGTCAGAAGTAGTTTTCATTGAAAGAAACCTCTCCCGCTGTCTCAAGGTCTGAGTCTCAAGTTGGCTCTGTAAATTAGGTTTTCCCTGTACTCTAGGCTCTTAAGAATTAGTCTCTGATCTCAGAAGGAAAGATGCAAGCTAATTGGGTCTTTAAACGATTAACAATTAATCAATACATAAAGCCTCAGAAGCCTGGTCCCTCTGGTGTGCTCAATACAGCAAGAGGCTTTGGGGGATGAGATCCTCCCAGAACCACTCCTTCCCTCATGGCACCAGCAAACTAGCAAGAAAGACACAACTATCACAACTGGTGACCAGCCTAACGATAACCTGTGTATTGTACATTTACAAGACACCTCATGGGACCATCTGGAATTGCAGAAGCCTCTCTTCTCGGGGAGGGGATGAAGGCAGACCTCTCATAAATTAGTCCTCCTCAGTGGTACCAAACACGCAAACCCAATTCAACCTAGTAAGTGGAGTGAGGCTTCCTCAGATGATCATTGGGCACCTACTATGCAGCTGGCACTGTTCTAGGCCTTGGGGGCTCAGCAGCCAAGAGACATACCTAGTGTGTCAGAAGGTCAGAGAGTGTGGTCAAAAATAAAGTAGGGTAAAAGAGAGCATTATTGAGTATTAGCAAGTATCCACCCAAAGCTAGGTTCCAGGCAAGGATTTACAAACAATGGTTCATTCAAACCTCACAACAACCCTTTAAGGTAAATGATAACAGGCCCAGTTTTCAGGTGAGAAAACCACAAAGGCTGAGAAGTGAGGTAACTTGCCCAAAGTCAGGCAATCAGTCAGAGATGGGAGGGGCCTCCAGTCCTGCCAGGACTGTGACTTCTCCGTGCACTGTCTTGGGTGCGAGGGGACACGCCTCCCACCAGGCTCACCCAGAGAAGCAGGCATTGAAGTGCTAAACACGGAGCAGACAAATACCAGAGCAAGCCAAAGGATGGTCTGCTTTTGAAAAGCCCGCTTTCGTGCTCCTAATTTCTATATTTAACAAAGTAGCTTTTAACACAAGTGGGGAGGCAGGGGAAGCAGGCTTTCATGCTCTTTTGAAGGACAGTATTTAGCTCTAAGTACCTCTCAGTCACTGCTGCAATATGAGATTTTTTTTTTCTTTTTCTTTTTTTGTCATCTGAGTAAATCATGGAAATGTTACTGAGCTCAATTTGAAAGTTCTCTGAGGAGCACAAAACGCCCTGCAACCGTTGAGTTACGATTATTATCATTACTGTTGTCATTACTGATGGTGTAGAGTTAAGACCTATTGGGATCTAAAGATACACCACAAGATAACCTACAACTTTCCCAATTCATTCAGATTCGGAAGAGTGGAGTGTTTATGACACTAACAATTCACCAGGAACAACTGTCTTCCAAATCAGTTCTGTAACCAGTTCTACCTAAATTGGTTTGAATCATAAATCTGCAAATATTTCTATATTTAGAGATGAGGTGTTTTACCATTACAGAAAGCCTATTATTTTATTGATACAGCAACATTTGCCGAAAAACATGTTTCATTTAGAGGGAGTCAAATAAGCAAATAATAGGGAAGATTTATAAATCAGTGGAACATAAAAACTGTGCAGAATAAAAAGAATGTACTTTATTGGAAGTATGCAATTTGGCTTCTGCTGACAGAGTCTTTATGAAATGCTAACACGTATTTATTTGATACCAATGATGGATGATCTAAGAGTTCTTTAAGGTAGTTTTAAAAATGTGACTAGCACAGTGGATTATGTGGATTTGCTGGTCATGTACTCCAATATTATCAAAATTAAAAAAAAACAAGACCCCCAGTATGATGGGAGGAGGAAAGACACAGGACCGGAGCTGAGCAAGGGTTTGGGTGGTGGGCTCTCGACAGTGTGGTCTCAGCCCATCTGTTTGCTCACAGGGGAAAAGCCCAGGGCACGTGAGGAGAATCAGGAGGAGGATTGCCAATGGCCTGTAACACACAAACATTTATTCATACATTCAACCAACCAACATATATTTATTGAGCGCCTATGGTGTATCAAACACTGTCAGGCACTCAAAATTCAAAGCTGTGCCATCCATCCAGGTGCTTTTACTTCAGTAGAGAAGGACTCACAAAAATGGGTGCTTCCACCTGCTGTGATCAATGCTATGAGGGAGGATGGAAGCAGGTACTGGGAAGCACTGTGGGAAACATCCTGGCATCCCAATGACAGGAAGTGATCCGCAGCTGAATCCTAAAGGATGGATGAGCAGGTTCCTCAGGTGGAGATGGCCGAAGACACAAGTCAAGCCACGGAGGCTGCCCTGGATGGAGGACTAGGGAGGGTACAGGTGGGCAGAAAGAGCCCAGGGTCAGTGGGTCCAATGGCTAAAGGCAGGGGTGTGGAGCCCTAGCACTTCCGGCACACTTATCTGTACAGCAGCCTCACAGCTGCAGCACCAGGACCTCTAGCTGATCCTCTAGGGCCACAGGGCACATGTTGTTTCACGACTAAATAGGGTGACCTTTGCTCCCAACAAGTGACTAACCTCTACAGAGAACAAGGGGTTATCCTGGGAGAAGGACCAACTGGGTGGTAGAACGGGGCTTTTTCAGGTACTGGAGGTTCAACAACAGGCCTTTCTGGACTCGCTGCTAAGCATCATTAACCCGTCAAATTCCACAAAGAGGGGCTAGCAGGAAGCTGCTTGTCTGTTCATTCATTCATGTGCGTGTGCATGCAACAAACACAGGAGGCGTGTGCTTGGCACTCGGAAAGCATGTTTTTCATTTTAATCCCCTCAACCAGAGTCTAGGGATTCAAAGAAAAATGAGACATGGCCCTGTATTCAAAGTGTTCAGATTCTATTTTTAGGGAATGATTATTGTCTATAGAATCCTTCCTGGATTGAGGTGAGCAGAGTCTGGTAAGAAAAACCTCTCAAAATTGCCTTTTCTAATGGCCCAGCACGTCCCGTGTTAGCCGGGGATGGCGGCCTGTGCCACTGCAGCTGGCTGCTGCCCTGACACTGGCACTGCTCTGCCTCTTCACTTTCAGGTTTTACTTTTGTACATATGTGCTTGGGGAATATCAGGAGGGCACCATTTTTCAAAAGCAAATAAATACATGTTGGAAAAATAAAATTTGTCAGCAGGCTCTTCAACTTCCTGCCCATAAACAGAGAGGGAATTGTGCAAAAGAGAGCACAAAGATAGAGAGGATCGATGGTTTCCCATCTGGACCCTCTGGACCCCCAGGAAGGCTCAGATTAGAAGCAATGGGCAGCTGCTTGCTATTTTCAGGATTTCAAGAGACTTAATGGAAAGTGTCCATTTACCCACGGTGAGGCAGCTGGCACGAAGTTAAACTTGCAGACTAGTTGGCTTTCACAGAATAGTCTTGCTTAGTGGGCTGACCCTGACATTTCTCACCAATCGGAAGTTCTGATGGGCATTAAACGGAAAGTGAATTTATTGCTACTTATGTGTGGTGTGGAAAATAGAGCCTATTACAATATGGCATCAGTGGGGGAAATATGATAAAAAGCGATCAATGAGGACCAAAAACCAATAATCAAACCATCTAAACCAAGGTTGAAACATTTTAATTTTGAGGTTACAAAAAAAAAATCCCTGTTTAAGTGTACATGTCTGTGAGGCATAAAGCAACGGCCTCTGACTGCTGGCTTGGGACCTAATGTGGCCGTCACACATGTTAAGTGACAGTCACTTGAAAGAGGGAGGACTGACTGTAACGACACAGATAATTATGAGACAGTTAACACTAAACAGCCACAACACTCACATCACTTCCAGCCGGGCCATTCTCGAGTCATTCCCTCCTTCAGAGATAATTTCGCAGGTGTAGTCTCCGATGTCGCCCGACCACGTCTGGCTAATGAGGAGGGACCCGTCCTTCTCCACCACAATTCTGGAACTGCTAGATGGGGTGATGACCATGCTGTCCTTCTTCCAGACGTAGCTGTGGGCCAAGCCAAGAGTCTCGAGTTAGAAAAGATCTTGAGTTAGGATCAAGCTAAGAGTCCTGAGTTAGGATCTTGACCCCTGATCCTTCCCTGTTAAAAAGCAAGCAACTTACGACATTGTGAATATACTAAAAACCATTGAATTGTGCTCTTTAAAAGGGGGAATTTTATGATATGTGAATTATATCTAAAAAAAAAAATAAAAGCAACCAGATATCTTGGTCATAATACAAAAATAGATGCTGAAGTTAAAAACAGGACAATGAAGATAATTGGAAACATCTGGTCTTTGGGTTTGGCGATAGGAAGTCTGTAGAGTCATGATCATACTTGTCACTTACTAAAACCATACTTCACATTCCTGCCCAGGAATGTTCCTGAAGGACAAGAATGTTGCCTGGATAGGAGGCAATGACAATTTAAAAAATCCCCAGAGCGGAATTACCCAACTTCTGAAAAAAAATAGATCACACCCCATAAACATGTTTTCTTAAAATCCAACCATTCTGGCAGATTATCCTTAAAACTGCATTTCTTTCTCATTTAATTCTTTATTTATGACAATTTTAGCACATTTTTCTTCTCAAATGTAGACTCGATGAAGAGCCTGTCGATCCCTCGGATGTCAGTGGGCAGGGGCCACTCCTCACTGCTGGGTGGGATGAAAGTGCTGGCTGGCTTTTCTCTCCAAAATAATTTGCTTGGATTTTCAAAATGCACCAAGTTCTTTAAAGACTGAATATGCACAGAGCCCAGACATTTACAAACTACTTATCTGAATTTACCCTGAGACAGAAAAGGACTGATTCCACAAGAAGGAAATGAATCAACTGCTCACTTTGTGGTGCAGTATTTAGCCGTGATTGTCACTTAGGGCTGGTGTTCCTCAGGGCAAAGAAACCCTGGGACCAGGGGTGCCCCAAGAGGGAGCAATCTAATTCCTTCTCAGGAGGGAGGCTCCAATTTTGTCTGTTTAATCACACACTAAAAGCTATGAGAAAACCACCAAGATCCAAGGGGACTCCTCCTGAGCTCTCAGAGCAGCAGAAAAGCAGCCTTATTTGCCCTTCGTTCTTCTCTCAAATCACACTCCTAAATCATTTAGCAATGAATGAATTCTTTTCCAGGCACGATAGCTATCTCTCAGACAGCCTCCAAGGATGCTCTCAGTAATCTTTAACTTGTTAGTTTTTGTTTTACATTCAACATTCTTGTATTAAACCAAACTTGGATTTTGAGCTCTGGGGAACTCAGAGAGCCAGGTGGAGATATGGAAATTCATGACTTGCCAAACACCTGCCCAAGAAGAGTGAAGAAACAGCTTAGTCTCCAAATCCAGTTAATAATGTATGCATCGACAGCCGTCTCTCTTGGCTCAGAGTGAAATGTTCCAGAAAGAAGGAATGCATCTTGATTCTATCCATTTGGCTAACTGCATGACTTTTGGGCTAAGGCCAGAGTGAAAATACTAGGATGACGGTATCTTTCTTCCTAGATTTATTTTCAAGGCTAATTCACAAAATTAAAAACTATTCTGAAAGTGGCAGCTGTTTGGGAAGAAGCTCACCACTGACAGTTACCTGTGTTTGCTGCCCTGCAATTACCTGGACTGTCTTATTTTTCATCATTACCTTGCTAGTCTGCATTCAAACCAAGACGGGACATCACAGTTCCTTTAGTGAATCTCCAAGTCATCCAGTTCCCTTCTTTACATACATTTTCCTCTAAATGAATCAGATAACTGTGGTTGCCTTTCTTCCATGTGCACATCTCCCTCGCTCCCCACTTCACAATGAAACCATCCCTGGAGTAGAGAAAACCCCTCTCGAGTGCTGCACAGCCCCCACATAAACACTGCTAAAATCCTATTCGATCCTGCTGGATTTTTCTCTCATTAAGTATCAGCCTCTGACAAGTACGTTTTACAGATAGTGTATTAACCTTGGCAGAAAAATCATGAAAAGCTGTATTGAAGTCATGAAGTGGAACATGGCTCACTGTAAATAATACATAAGGCTGGAGTGGAAAATGGGATTTGTGTGATTAATGATGGAGCCCACGACCGTAAGATGCCATAATCAGGGATCTATGGCTGAAACCAAAGTTCTAAAATTCTCCCTTCTCATCTCAACTTCACTTCCTAAGCTCACACAATATTAATGAGCCCCAAACACTGTGTTTGATGGAGCTGACCGGAGGGAAATCCGGGGGTCATGGGTGGCTCCACAGTGCAGCGTGGCCGTGGTCCCCTTAATCACCACGCGGTCCTCTGGGGGGTTAACGATGGACGTTCGATCTGAAAAATACAAGTCATAACTCAGACAAAATTACATGCTTGAGAGTTTCCTCCCTCAGGGGGTAATGAATTGGTCATCGGACATCAAAACCTCCAAGTTTTCTCTTATCTTGGCAAAACGTAAATGGAAGCACTCAGAAACCTTCAGGGAATTGAAAGCAAGCCTTTCCATACTGCAGTGAAGGAAGTCAAATATTCCCACACCTCTCGGGTCATCCCTGAACCTGTAAACCCTCCGGAAGAAAGTGAGAATGAAAGATCATACGCAAATGTTTATCAAGTTCTACACTCTTTGGTAAAAATCTTGACTCTTTCCCAACATAATCAACGTTCTGGTAATTTCTACTCTCTGCATAGCACTTTGTGACTTTGCAAAGTGTTTTCCTTTATGGTGTTTTATTTTACCCTCACCACAGTCTTGTGAGGGTTGTAATATTACTGCTCCCAGTTCTCAGGATGAAAACTGATGCTCGGAAATGTAGGGACTTGCCTGATACCATGGAGCTGGTAAGGAGTGGGCCGGGTGCTAAGTGCAGGCCTGCGACTCAGTCCAGCCCTGTGGCCACCCCACACTGCACAGCTGCCACAGTGAAGGCCCTGGTGACAGTCCCCACACTGCACACCTCTGAGGTGGATGCTGCTCTGGCACCACAAACATCCTGAAACTTGGGAGTCACAGGACTAAGTTCAAGGCCCAGCCTGACCACTTGCCAGCAGGGCATCTGGAAAAACATCTCTGAGCTTTAGTTTTCTTGTCTGTGAAAGGGAGCGGCCGACATCACCCACAGTTGTACAGAATCAAGCCAGTGATGATGGGAAACTCTCTGCAGGCCACACAAGCGTTGTACCGATCCCTCTAGTGTGGTTATGATTTCAAATCTTAGGAAATCCAAAAAATTTTCTAATGAGTGACCTATAGAGATGCAGACATCAGTTTTTCACAAGCTTTTAAATATCTGGTTAATTTTTAGGGACACACGATGAATCAGAAGTGGTTGATGGAGTCGACCACCAAATGGAACAAAACCTCTTTTCTAGTACTTGACAATATTGGCGGAATTTGGCTTCATTTCTTTTAAACTCATGGTATTTTTAGAACACCTAATAAATTAAAAAGGGTCATTTATCAAAGTGGACACCAACTATATCATAGAAAATGCTAAACAGATATTAAATAAAGCACAATAATTTAATTTTCCTTCAAGGATAGTATTTTAACAAATTATTCATCCATGCAAGCTAAAATTTTCTCTTGTCATATACATAGCTTTATGAAAATCTGTTGGGGCCGGCCCCATGGTGTAGCGGTTAAGTGCGCGCGCTCCGCTGCTGGTGGCCCGGGTTCGATCCCGGGCGTGCACCGACACACCGCGTGTCAGGCCATGCTGTGGCGGTATCCCATATAAGTGGAGAAAGATGGGCACAGATGTTAGCCCAGGGCCAATCTTCCTCAGCAAAAAGAGGAGGATTGGCATGGATGTCAGCTCAGGGCTGATCTTTCTCACGGAAAAAAAAAAGAAAAAGAAAATCTGTTAGTGGGCACTGTTTTTGTGTTTTTGAACAATGATTTCTTAGCAGTATAGATATCGATGAAGCGGAGAGGAAAAAGTGCATTGTCAAGTGAAGACACAGGGGGTGGGGGGGAGCATAAATACTTAGTAATCCAATCCTTATGTTCTGGAAAACAATTTATTCTGCATTTCAGGAACCTGTGATATAGATAGAATATAAAGAAAGAAAAGCTGGAGAAACAACAAAGATCGTTCTTTCAGTTCACTCCTAGTCTATAGGAAGCATTCAGATTTAATATACTAGGAGTGTCTTACTTGGTTATAATGATAATACAGAAAAAATATACTTTTCCTAAGATTTTAATTCTTGATTCAGTTTTCTTATATAATGTGTATAAAATGAACCAACCTATCAGTTTTGTTATTTCAGCTAGTTTGGGATAACATCCTTACTCTACTGACTTTAAAAAGTCAATCTTTTATCTCTTCTGAAACGTTCCTATTAAATCTTTGAATATATTTTCTAATTATGCTTTTAGAAACAAAAAAAATTAATTACTCGACCAATTTCTATAAATTAGTTGTAAAAATAATCATTCTCCTTTGATTAGAGAGTCCAAGGGCATATTGACATCCCCTAAGCACAGATGACAGATGATTAAACCATGATTAATAGAAGGTTCCACATGGACCATGGTCCTTACTCCACACAGTTAGTGCTGCAGATGCATTCAGGGATCCTTCTGTGTTAGCTGCATAGCATGTGTAGTTGCCAGCATCCTGGATGAAGACAGGGGTTATCTGTAGACCCCCAGACTCAAGAAGCATGAACCTGGGAATCCGCACAGAGCCACTGGCCAAAATGTGGTTTCCTGAGAAACAGCAGAGAAAACAGGAATGTCAGAACCTTAACACCTGAAAGACAGTCATGCTTAGAGCCACAATCAAGAAAATAACTTGAGGAAATAATCAGAATAAAGTAGAAATTTTATGCACTAAAATAACCTGTCAATATTTAGAATAACGGAAACCAAGAATATCCTAATTGTTCAATATTGAGAGATTTGGTTCAAGAAATTATGACCCATGTATGTGATTATTATCTTTAGGTGATTGATTTTAAGTTTCTTTATATCTGTATGCATTTGAAAAATTTCTATATAAAGCTATTATTACATTCTAAATCAGGAGAGAGAAAAAGAAAATATATAAAATAGGGAAACCTCTTCCTATTTATTAATCTGCCGTTTCCCAGAACTTTATGTGTATAAGCTATAATCTGAGTGCACAGATTACACCTTTGAGAGTTTAGAAGCCAACAGCTGGTTTACCGGTAGCATGAAAAAGAAGTTTTGAAGTTTCACCCAGATACAGTGCACTAAGCATGACCAGGTAATCTATGTGAATCAACACAATTCAGCATGGATTTATTAAGGATGGACTATGTGGGATGTTCATGTAGTGACATGTGGCCCTAACCTGTATAAGGGGCTGTGGGGACTACAGAGAAAGCCTGTGACATGACACCACTCATCACAGGGACTGAAAATACAGTTGGAATTATGAGTGTCACACATGTCAAATGGGGAGGATGTAAATAATGTGTTAGAAGCATCTTTCTTGAAAAAAAAAAAAAAGGATATTGTTCTTAATTTTTAATATTCCCAGGGAAGAACTCCTTCATTTCACAAATGGGAAACCTAGTGCTGGCAGCGCTACTCCAAATCCAATACCTAGTATTTTAAGGAGCCCCAACAGGCCTAAGGCATCTTATGAAGGGCTTAGACAGAGGGAAGTAACATTCACACATTTTTTTAAATGTCTCTTTCCTTTTCTAGATGATAAGCTCCACGAAGCTTATAGGATCTTGCCCTCCTTACTCATCCTTGTACCTCTGGCATTTAGCACCTGGTAAGTGCTGAATGAATGGCTATTTAATCTTTATTGAATGAATGAATGAGAGTGAGAATAACAAAACAACCCTTGGCCCGATGGGCTCATTTTCTGTGTTGGCCATGCCGCTATGGCAGGCACAAGCTACCTACCTCTCTTCCACATGATGGCGGGTTTGGGAGCCCCAGACACCTCACACCTCAGAATGGCTGTCATCCCATCGGTAACCGTGGTATCCACTGGAAGCTGAGTAAATGCTGGCGCAACATCTAAGCAGAGGAGTTAGTGAAATATTCAGTGCGTTGTCCCTCAGAAATGCTCAAACCAGCCTGGGGGAGTAGTCAATATGGACTTTTATAGAACTAATCACAGAAATAACTGTAGCAATAAAAAATGAGAACTTTTCAAGAGTGACTATAACCTTCAGTTATTCGTCTCCCAAGAATTGCCATCCTTGTTTACAGCCAAAAGAGAAATACAGTGTCGTGACGTAATAGATGCACAAGTGGGCACGTGCAGGAGCCCAGGAGGGACTGCGGTAGATGAATATTAATGAGAGGAGAGACACTGATTTACATAAATCCAACAAGCTGCTTTCATTATTAAAAAAAAAAAAAGAAAAAGCTAATTTTTGAATATTAAATATCATTCAAAAGATGACAATTTCACACTTTCTAGGATCTGTTCTAAAAGCTAAAATAACTAGATTTCAAGGATTTCAGTAAAGAATTTCTGGGAAGTGTTGTGGACCCCGAGTGATGGGGGCTCTTCTTGTTCACAGGGGACTGCATGGGCCTCCAATACCCACCACCCTCCATCAGTCGGGAGTGGCTCAGGCTGGCTTCAGTGAGGGTTCCTCTCACGTTGTACTACTTTGATAATGATGAAACCGGAAAGCCCTCAACAACAGTGATATCATCTTCCAGATCTTGTGTGAGGGCCCCTGAGGTGCCTGGACTGGTGCCCCCAGGAGAAGAAGTGGGCACAGCTGCCCGCCTCTCCCTTCACCTGGTGGGAATCCCTAGGAACCGCAGTGAGTCCTGTTGATTCTACCTCCAAAGCACGTCTTGGACCTGATCACTTCTTTCCACCTCTGTTGCTACAACCAGGGTGATGCAGTGGCCTCCTAACTCGTCTCAAGCCTTCTGTTCTTTCCCTCTTAGCCCATTGTACATTTGGCTTTGGGGGGTCTTTGAGAGCTGTAAATGACACCCTGCCACTCCCCTGCTCAAAGCCCCTGATGGGCACTGGTTATCCCTCCAAGCTATTTCCTCCTCCACCCTTGCTCATTGTCCTCGCCTGCCTCCTCTCCGCCTGCACACACACCTAGGCTAGCTTGTCCCTCTAAGGCACTTGCAGCCCCACTCCCACCCCACGACATGCATGTCCCCCAAGATTTTGCATGACAGGCTCCTCTCCCCCTTCAGATCTCAGCTCCAGTGCCACCCCAGAGAAACCGTCCCTGACCGCCTACCCTCTGAGGGAGTCTTTCCTGGTCACTCTGAGGCTCTCCTGTTCTACGTTCTTCACGGCGCTCAGCTCTAGCTGAGTTATCTTGTCCTGTGCTGTCTTCCTCCTCCTCCATGACCCCCTGTCCCAGAAGCATGAGAACCTTGCCTGTCTTCTTTGCAGCTCTGTCGCCAAGCCTGATGGACCCAGAGTGCCTGACACAGATGCTCAATAAACGTTTAAGTGAATGAATACACATCAATTGCTTTACACACTATATTTTCCTTTCATTAAAGGTATTTTAATTTTAAAAAATCCATTTTGCAAAACCCTGTACTTACAAAACAGATAATATAGCATTATCATTATCATGTATTTATTTGTTCACTCTCCAGTTGTCATGGTAACCAGTTTAATAACACTTTCATTTAAATTTCCAAACTGATCCTCCTAAGAACTCTGTGAACTGCACTGGGCTGGCTCCATTTTGACGAGAAAACTAAAGCTGAGAGAAATTAGGTGATGTACTCTGGGTCTCTCACTAGAGAAGGGGCCAGCAAACTACAACCCACGGGCCAAAACCAGCCTCTCCCCTGTTTTTGTAAAGAAAGTTTTGCTGGAACACAGCCACACCCATTTGCTTAGTATCGTCTGTGCTGCTTCCATGCTGCCACAGCAGAAGTGAGTGGCTGCGACAGAAACCATGTCCCTCAAAGCCAAACGTATTTACCGTCTAGCCTGTACAGAAGAAGTCTGCCAATCCCTGCCCCAGAACATCCCGGCCCACAACTACAAGATAGGCTTTGAATAATTCTAATTGATCAAAACTCAGTTTCCTGCCTAAGTACCCAACATTGTCTCTACTGCTTGAAGCAACACTGGTTTCCTATGCTCCAAACTGGAAGATAAATTTGACCCCTGGGCAAGGTTCAAGGCAGTGACTCCTACTTTACCAAAATATATGCATGAATCTTTCAATATTTCCTCAGTCTCTTCATAAGTTTTGGCTGACAAGAGCCATTGGCCCCATACACACTGACATTGATCTGCTTTCTCAAACGGCTCCGACCCCTGAGGATGTCAGCATTTGCTTCCAAAAGGGCAACGTGAAAGGCATAATTCTATCATCACTAAATTCTACTTCATTTTAGAAGAACAATGTTACAACCATGGGAGATTAAAAAGAAAACCCACAGATACAGTGAAAACCTTTACCTTTACTTTGTTTTTCAAAGACAGGGTGCCAGAGTATTTTTGTTAATGGGATAATAAAAGAAACTCACAAAAGAACTATCATTGTTCAATAAAACTAAAATAGAGAATGAATATAAATGAATATAAAAAATGGAAAAAAGATCAAAAGAAAAAGATTAGGAATGAGCTATTCACTTAACAGTCCTTCCAGTCCAAAAAAATGGGGAATTATTTTCTACTTCTCAATAAAGAAGAGCGCTCACGTGCTGGAAAAATTGAAGCTTACATAAGAATAGGAAGGCACCAAGGATTGGGGGAGCAAAGGGGTATATTCGCTGCTCATGGGCTTCGGTGGAGCTTCCCGAGGGGACCACAATGGGTTAAGTTGTGCCTCCTCGGCTGGTCACCTCTCGCCACTGCACCCTGTCCATTTACCTCAGGGGGCTGAACAGATCCTACCATTTTCTGAATGTGTCATATGGGGCAAAGGTTGGGAAGCTCTAGCCTGAGAGCCCAGTCCAGAGGGTCTAGCTCTGCTGATGGGCAATACTCACTGGTAACGTCCAGGTAGGTGTAGGTCTGGATCTCTCCTCCCTCATTAGTGGCAAAGCACTGGAAGATTCCAGAGTCCTCTGGATGCAGCTTCTGGATGCGCAGGCCTCCACTTGAGAGCACTTTGTATCGAGGATTCTGGAGTTTGCTGATGGAGATGGCATCCTTGTACCACTGGAGGGTGGGAAGAGGGACCCCTGTGTAGGAGGGGGAATAATTGGGCACTTTAAAAAAAAATTAAACTTCAAGAATTCCTTATAAGAGGACTTAGGCAAAATGTTTCAAAGGCTAAAATGGCAATATTTCAATAGGCATTTTCTTATCTATTAGTCCTTTACAACCACCCCGTAAGGTGTTTTTTTCTCATCTTATATGAAGAAATCGACACAGAGAAGCGGTAAGAGGAAGAGCAGGAGCAAACTCCCGACGCCCAGGCTGCAGGTCCTTCTGGGCTCCCCTGAGCCTGCATGGGTTTGGGCTCTTGTCTGGAGAGAAGGCGGTTCCAGCTGTAATTGACTTCCAGACAGACAGGGATCAGGATGACGGTCTTTGCTGCTCTGCAGTGCCCAATTCCACCATTCAGGGCTCGGGGAAGGGTCACCAGGGAAGGAGACAGGACACAGCCAAGCACCAGGTGGGTCCCTCGCTGACTATGTGATCTCGGGCAGAGCACTTAACCTATCCTTGTCTCTGTTTCCTCATATTTGGAAAAGAAGTGATCATCGTAACCTCAGAAGGTTGTTGTGAAGATTAGTTGTGCCAATATACATAAAACTCTTAGAGCCTGGCACAGGGTGAGTGCTCAATGGATAGTATCCTTGTTTATTATTACAACTAACAGCAATAAAAATGAGTGCCATCTTTTAAACAGCCTCTATCTAAGGAGTTGGATATCTAAGTGCAAGTCTACTGTATGGGAGGAGCGATTTTAGGTTATGCAACAAGCACACAAGATGCGTTTGGTTAAAGGTCGAGGAGACATAAGAGGTATTAAGTTGTAGATGTAGGAGAAGTTGCCTTGGTCCCTAAGACACATGCGAGTACAGCAGATGGCAAGGAGGAGCTGCAGGATGGTTCCATTCTTGTACTCCAAGAGTGAACTGAGCTGAGAGCATGGCCAAGACTTTGACCAAGAGGACAAGAGGGTCAGACTGAGTTTAAATGCCCAGCTGCCACTCCCAGGAGCCTCTTCCTCATCCTAATCATATGAGAGCAAAAAATCAGGCCTCAAGTCGATGATTCTGGAGCTGTGCACGATCTAGCCAGCCCACCCTGAAGAAGGTTGAGGTTGGGTTTGGGAGGGATATATGCAGGGGACAAAGCACACGCTTACAGGGATAGAACCTTGGTTGTAAATGAAGGGACTGTCCTCAGCCCGAGAGCATGAGGACCTCTGTTGCTCATCCCCCACGTGGCTGTGGTCAGTACACATAACCCAGGCAGTGATGCATGCATGCCCTGTTCCCCCTGGTGGCATTGCTGCATGGGACAAGCCCTGACTGGGGACATATTGGGCTCCTTCTCTTGGCAGCTTCTCTGGGTGGCTTGGGGGACTAGCAATAGGGGAAGTCTCCTCCTTGGGACTTCTCCCTGACCTTTCTCGAAGCCAAGACAGGTCAAGCCACCCAAGAGGGATGAACTGGGTAGACTAGAGAGGCTGTGCATAGAACTAGACCAAAGCACTCAAGAAAACAAAGTCCTGAACTATGGTGGGCTATGTATGCTTATTGTGCGCCCATGGGAAAATGGGAAAAGCACAGAAATATCTAGACTTATTTCTAGATATCAGATGGTTCTGTACCTGTTTCCCTAAAAATATAAAATGAATTTAAATAAAACACATCTTGACGTGATTCATGGTGAGAAGCACGCCCAAATTCCTTGATTTAAGGTGCTATGAAGCTGTAAGATGTCTTCTTTAATAAATAAAGTTAATGTCGTGGAATATTTCAAGATAATGTATTCTCATATTCTGTTCTTTGCTTTAATTATGTTTCCTGTCACTTTTCATTAAATCAGGAAATTTAAAAAAATCCATCTCAAGGTAAAAGCATAACCAATTCATGCAAAATCTCATAACAGCAATTACATGATGTAGCTTTCATAAAGAATAACCGCTTTGCATGCTGCTTTAGTTTCATTGTCAAAATTAAAAGAAAGCAGTAAATCATATGATGGCAATGCAATGCTGAAAGACTTGTTCAATATGTATTTATAAGTCTATACTTAACAAGCAGTTTACCCTGTAGAAATCATGCAAAAAAGAGCATTCTCTTGTCAAGGGGAAAGCTTCAGATTGCCATTTATTGAAAAATAATTGTTAGTATATAGGGAACTAGGTGTATATCTATTTGGGGGCAACTTCATAAACAGAAATCTTATCCCTCACAGTACTGTAAACTCTCGTTTCTAAAATATAAGCACTCTAAATATTTTATAGCTTCACTTTCACAGAGTTGTTGGCCTTAAAAAGCTAGTGTTTATATAAGAAAGAGCAATGCGACCATAGTAAGGAAAATATTTCCATTTAAAATTCCCATTACTCTTCTCTCACCCTTTTCTTGCCTTCCCCTAGGCTGCATTAGGGGAGCTGGAGCAGAGAAGAACAGAAATAGAGCAGATCTGTCAACAGTGGCCATTGTGAGCTGACCAGGGGCTGAGAACCAGAACTACTAAAGCAGCAAATCTTTTGTTGTTGTTGCACAAAGTGCAGTGGACAGAGAGGAAGGGACTGACGGCCAGACGCTGAGCTCTACAATGACCATCAGTACTGTTCAGAGCGACACCATCACTCCTTTTCAGAGAGGAAAATGACATGCAGGTACTTACGGATGAATAGTATTTGTTCTAAGTCCCAGGGCCTCAGCTCTCAGGGAGAAGCCAGGTGTCCTGGCCCAAGATCTTGCTTTGGTAGTGGATGGATTTGGGTTTGGATCCTGTCTCCATTACCATGTGACCCTGGGTGGGTTACTTGCCCAGTATTTAATGAGCAACTCCTACATGCCAGACACAGGGCGAGGGTTTCATAACAAGTGTCTCGTTGCATCTTCCTGGCTCTGCGCCGTAAACACGCTACTTAACCTTGCTTTCTAAGGTTTTGTTTTCTTATGTGTACAGTGAGATGATAACATCTCTCCTATGGAGCTGTTTTGAACATTTACAAAATTGTTAGTAATCTGAGCCCTGCAGGCTCTTAGAAGAAAATACTCCCCTTTAAGATGGACAGATATTAACATAAAAAAAGGTCCTTTTTATTTCTTGACAATTTCCAGAGCACTAACATAGCTTCTGTTAATGAAATTGTCTTAAAAAGCCTGTCTCTGTTGGGGGTTTAGTATAATTACTTGTGCTGCTGGACATGAAATGGTGACAGTGGACAGCCAGTAATCAAGGCATGGGGACGAGGGGTGGAGTGACGAGTAACAAAGTAGACCCAAAGCTGAAAAGGCAGAAAAATAGGAAGATTTCAAAGAATTTAACACAGTTTCTCTTCCTACAGAGCAGACAGGTCACCAGTCCCAATCACCCCATGGATGAGCATGAATTTCCTGCCCCAAGTCTTGGGGCATCATGCTCTTGTGGAATCAGAGCATTTGAAGGGAGTCAAGAGGACAAGACTATGTCTCCCTCTTTTGGGATGGATGGGGTTAAGGTTTCCTTGTTGTTCTCTTGTGTGAATATTATTATCCCTGCTTTGTAGGTGAGGAGGCAAAAGCTCAGCAAGGTCAAATACCTTCCCCAAGGTCACAGGCTAAGTAACTGAGTTCTACTCTACTCCAAAGGCTGTGTTTCTAACAACCACACTCAACATGTCCCTGTAATGATGACGAATCTGCCCCGGAAAATGCCATTTCCGTTCCTCCATCTCATGGCTGCTTGCCCAGCAGCCTCCCCACACTCACCCATGGCTTGACATACGATGTCCACAGTTTCTTCCACTTCAACCAAAATCCGACTCTCAGGTTCAGCAGTAAAATATGGAGGCTCTTTAAATAAGAAAAAACAAAATAGCCCCTAAGCAAGAGATGTATATTTCAGCAGACCTTTATAACCTAAAAGAGTTTCAACTTCTTTTAAAAATTATTTTTGAAAATTTCTTAGTTACCATCGTACGCACAAACTCAGAATTCAGAGAGCAGAGGCCAAAGGCGATTTATAGTCTAAGGTTTCAGAAAGCAAATTACTACTCAGAGCGATGGCTACTTGTCAGTTTATGGGCTTGTATCATGGAATATCTTAATTCACATTTTAGAAGGACTATCCCAAGAGGTTCATAAAGGTTTATATTTACAGCATAGTATTTTATAGGCTAGTTTGCTTAAGTATCTAAACTAAATACCAATTCATGCAGCATGTCAAATAAAGTGCCATAGTCAGGTACCAGGCCTATATCAGGGAACCATGCAGCCTATTAAAATATTTTTTAAAGTCTTAGCAGTTCTCCAAAATATAGATTTAATACTTCACTGGAATGCAAAATAACAGCTAAGAGAAAAAAGAAAAAGGGCTGCTCATCCATCTTTAGTAGCAAAGGAAACTCTCAACCACTTGCATATCTCTAGATACTTCACTTGCCTATTCAACAAAAAAATAGTGGTTGTATTAAACAATGAATTCCCCTGGAGAGTAAAGTGCAATATTTTTCTCAGTTTATTCAGCAGAAATTCAACAGTGGCACAGCCAACTTCATTGAGTATTAAGGTGGTAGTGATTTCATTATCATGATAACAAAAGGCTGTTGTGTTCACTTTCTGTGTGATAATTAATTTCTGGGCACTGTCTTCCAGAGTGGCTTATTTTCATTGTAATTGTACAGAACATGGATAAGATAGCTTGGCATGCCTCCTCTATTGACTGTATCTTTAAAACAGGGTGGAACCTAAAAGAGGAAAAAGAGAAATGAAAACTAAGCATTTCAAAGAAATGATTGAGGATAGTGGGCTGAAGGTTCCTCAATGGAGGCAAAGTTAGGTAACAATTCTGCAATTACCTGGATCACTCAAGCAGAAACAGTCCACCTGAATTATCTACCCTGGCTGAGGCGATGGCTGCAAATTCACTAGGTGGAGGCAGAACGCTCTACTTTGTTTTGTGTGTGTATAGACCAGGCCTAGAGACATCCTGCAAAGATTTAATGTCTCTCCTTTTCAAGTTGGTCTTCATTGCACACTCAGGTATTCACACTCAGCCACATCTCCATCAACAATCATGATAGCAGCATTATTTCTATGCTAACCATACAGTAGCTGCATCCTGCCAAGGCCCTTCTGTGCAGGGCAGGCCCCATATTCATCAGTGAATGCTAACGTCCATATCCACCACCATGATCTGGTGGAAGGCATGTGAGGGGAAAAGGAAAAAAATAAGTTAAAACATCAACACTTGCCTATGATTAATCGGTTTTCCTTTTTAAATTAGACATTTTATTTTATTTTGAGTTAATCTTAGAGTCCCAAGCAGCTATAAGAAATAATAGAAAAAGATCCCAGGTGTCCCTTACTCAGTTTCCCCCAGTGGTAACATCTTACAAAACTGTAGTCCAACCAACATCACAACCAAGATTTTGACAGTGAAACAAGCAGCCTTCAGTATTGACCTCTTTCCAGTTGTGCTTGTACTCCTGTGCATGCATGTGCACTCGCATGCGCGTGCGTATTTATATCAAAGCAGTGTTATCACTTGTGTGATATCACTGATAACCACTACCACAATCAAGATGCAGAGCAGGTTCATCACTGCAAGGATCCTTCATGCTGCCCTCCCATAGCCATGCCCACCCCAATGGCCCCTCCTTCACCCCTGGCAACCACTCATCGGTTCTCCATCTCTATCATTCTGTCATTTCAAGAAAGTTATATAAAGGAAATCACACAGTACGCAACCTTTGGAATTGGCTTTTTTTTCACTCAGTATAATTCCCTTGAGATTCATCCAAGAAGGTTACACTTAGATGATAAAAATCCACACGTATAAATGGTCAACATCTACAGGACCAGACAAGTCCCAAGGTACTGACGACAGATACTGTCTGGCACAACGGCCTGATGACCCGGTGCTGCCCTTTCCTACTCTGCAATGCTCCCCAGCTTCCCCCAAGTGCCAGGGAGGAGGGACTTAGTCCAGGGTCAGAGACAAGGGGTACTCTTCACACGGTGACCAAAAACTGCTCGGGCTGAGCAAATGCATGGCTCTGGGGCTGGTGGCACATTAGGGACCTCCAGGCCCGGCCAAGGCCCCTCCTCTCTGAGCACTACCATCTCCCACCCCAGCCAGCTACTATGGGGCTTGGTACAAACCTATCTGCTCCATATACTCCAAGGCACCTACTGCAGAGCTGCCAGCTTCCTCGGGCACCGTCTGGAAGGCAGCCTGCCAATGTCTGCCAAGTGCTGCCTCTCTCCTCTGGAGCCAAAACCCAGGGAAGTTTTAGTAGCTGAAAACTAGGAAGGTTGGGACTGGCATGGGCAGAGCATGTTTGCTCATCTATTGATGCTCTTGCCTTGTTCCAGAGAGTCTTCCAGGTCCCTGGGCAAGCAGAGGAGGTGTGGACCTGCCAAAGGTACCCCTTGTCTCACACCTGAAATGCCCACAGCTTCTGACCGTCATTTCATTACTTTCCCTACATTACATATGTTACAATTGCTCTCACTGCTGACCCTTCATATTAACCCAACTCAACAGGTGCTCGGAAGATTTTCCTCTCAATCCCCAGCTATTTTTACACATAGTCAGCTATATGAAAAAAAGGTGGAGGAAAATATCAGGCATATCAACCTTGAAAAGACTGTGTGTTGAATAGTGGGGAAAAATCTATTGTGAATTAGTCGTCCCATGCATGAGACTTTTCAACCACTTAATCTGCAAAGGGCAAGTGCATGTCTTAGCTAATCAGCAACAACTCTTTCCAGAAAGGGTACACTGCCAACATTGGCACACACTAGACTTCTAAAAATTTATCACAACTGCAGTCAATAAAACTGGAGATTGAAACTAACACTCTCACCTCTTTTGAAACAATATGAAGACATCAGGAAAATGTTCTCAACCCCTGTGTGAAACTGGAGTGTTAGGAAAAGGCCAGCTATACTGACGATCCTCCACATCTGCCCAGGGGCCACGGACAGCTCCCCCATTCAGCGCAAGCCTCCAGTCCTCCAGTCTCAGAACTGGAGGTCGGGATACCTCCCAGGCAGCCCCAAAACCAAAGCCTCTGTCAAATCCCCCACTCTCCAAAATGCTAGGGTGACAAAGCACAGGTTCTGGCCCAGATGGAGGCAACCACGGCAGACTGTCCACGCATACCAAGGATTCCTCATGTTCTCCTGCCCCTGATGCTGGGCTCTGGCTTCTGCCCCAAACCCTGAGTCTGAGTTGTGGGCCTGCCCTGAGTAGGCTTGCCGCAAGACCCAAAGATGCTCCCCGTTCTGTCTTCCCTCCCCCTCCTGAATGACCATCTCAGGGAGCAGCAAGTCCCATGACGTGCCCTTGACTTGCCATCATCGTCCACACCTTGGTGCCCTTGTCCATTGTGGTGGTAAGAATGGCCCCAAAGATCTCTACCCGTAGTCACTGGGACCTGTGAATATGCTATGCTACATGGCAAGAGGAACTTTGCAGATGTGATTAAGGTTATCAACTTTAAAATGGGAAGATTATCTTGGTTTAGCTGGGTGGGCCCAATCTCACCACAGGAGCCCTTAAAAGCAGTGAACTTTCTCCAATTGGAAGTGGGAGACATAAGGCAGGAGGAAAGTTCAGAGAGATTTGCAGCGTGAGAAGGACTGGCCGGCTGCTGCTGGTTGTGAAGATGAAGGTGGCCATAAGCAAGGGGATGTGGGTGGCCTTTAGAACCTGAGAATGACCCCAGCCAACAGCCAGAAAGGAAAGAGAGGCCTCAGTTCCACAACCACACATACTAGATTCTGCCAACCCCCTGAATGAGCTGGGATGTGGATTCTCCAGCAGAGCCTCTGGATAAGAACCCAGCCCAGTCACAACCTTGATTTCGGCCTTGTGAGACCTGGAACAGAGAGACCAGCTGAGCCCACCCAGAACTGTGAGGTAACACATCTGTATTATTTTAAGCTGTTAAGTTGTGGTAGTTTCTCACAACAGCAATACACCAGCAGTACACTTGTTCTAGTTCCTCTGCACGGAATGTCTTTCTCCACTTATCTTGTTGGCAAATTTTGCCTCAATCTTCAAGATCAGTCCTAGTGTGCCTCCTTCTACAAAGCCTCACTGACCTCCTCAGACAGAGTCAGCCCCACCCTCATAATCCTTTTGTACCAATGATCCATATTTGTGCGATTTGCCCATATGGCAGTCTCCCCCACCACACTGAAGGTTTCTTCAGAGAAGAATGTTGTCTTAGTCATCTCTGTATTTTTAGCACCTTGTATAAATTTCAGAGAAGACACTTAAAAACTATCTACTGGAAGAGGAGATGAAGGGGATTACCAAAGATCTAAAATCCTTAAACTCCTTTAGGGATGAAGTGTGTCTTATTCATCTTTGCAATCCTCCTTCATCCTCTACCTGTGCCAGCACTTTGGCTCAGTGCCATGCACATACTATACTATGAGTTGATCAACGATCGGTGGATGAACAGAGAAGGTGGAAGATGGAGGTGGAGCCTAGAAGAACAGACAGTATATGGCAGAGCTCACTCCCCGCTCTCTCAATATTGAATGCCTGCTCCATCCCGAGATACTAAGGGCTGGATTGCCAATCCTGCATTCAGAAGCAAATGACCCAAACATCATTTGGTGTTTGCCTCACACAAATTTACTTTTTATTTTAGAAACAGTTCTGTCATAGTTCTATTTTCTGAGCTTTATTCAGTAATAAACCACCATATAGTTAAGTTCTATAGATGTGACAGGATACCAACAATTAACTTGGGTACTTCTAATATAGGTCATACGTGAAAACTATTAAAAAAGACATGTTAAGTTTATCTTAAACCAACGTGAGTGAGTTACAAGGCAGGTGTTCTCTGTAAATCTCTATCAGTAGAGGATTATGGTCATGCTGGATTCTACTCTGGCCTGAATTGTTTGTGGAAGCCCCTGGCCTGCCATATGCCAGGAGAACCTCTACCCACTGCATCTGGCATGTGAGGGTCAGGTGCCCCTTACCACTATCTTAGCACTTATTATGCTGAATTGTAAACGCTTTGTAAAGGGATTGTCTTCCATATGAGAATCCTTGATGTGACCATGACTACTTCTTCACTCCACTGTCCTCTATATCTAGCACAGTGTCTAAGATGTAGACTCAATAAATATTTTGGCAATAAATGGAGGAAGGAAGGAAGGGAAAGGAGGGAGAAATGTTAAGTTGTGATACAAACATTTAAGACCTAAGGTAAAAGACCTTAGAGTTCAGCTACGGAATAACTTCTCAATCGTAGTATTGCTATCAGCTGAGAGATGTTACAAGGAATTTTCTATTTTAATAATAGTTAAGATATTGGAATTTCTGAATGATGTGTGTATAAAAACATCAGAATAGATTTGAGATATATAGAGAGTTCTCTACAATAGCTACTGTCACTGAGTAACTATTTTTGAGTGGGAGTGAAAGAGCCAGCATGCCAGGATATGCACATTCACAGGAGTAAGACAAGCGTGTGAACAACAGCGCTTTGTGTGTGGTGCAGAGAAAATGGTGATCTGTCAGTCTGGACGGGAAGATATAAATACTGCATCTCACTGAATCCAAGATGCTGCAGTTGTTGGTAAGAGGCATAGTCGTTTTATTTATCCGCGAGAAAGAAAAGTCTCCAAGAAAGAAAAAGTGCTCCCATGGATTGTGAGACACATCCTGATTTCAGAGACAGTAAATGTGAAAAATGAGTGTCATGTAACTAATAGTTGGTAAATGTGACAGAGGCAATAACACTTGTTGAAGCCAGAGAGTGGTCAGTGAGACTCTGAACCCAGTCCTGTCTCCAAAGCCGTTCCTGTGACACATCGTGCTTTGCTGACCCACCAGTGTGTCCACATGCTACAGGAGTATGGCTGAGAGAGCACCACTCCTCTCTCTGGTGAAAAGTCCAAGAGAGTCACAGAAGCAAGCGGTGACATTTGAGAGGAGTCTTGAGGGATATGCAGACTCACTAACCAGCTGAAGTGGGATCCAGTGATGGAAAGGCCAGTCATCCCAGCACAGGCAAGAGCAGATGCTCAGAGTCTCAAAGACGATGGTCAAAGTCTTGGGTTGGCCTCCTCAGAAGCAGACCCTGAGACAAGGTTCACTGGCAGTGGTTCATTTGGGAGGTGATGGAAACATCATTGGGAGAGTAGGAGTCAGCTGAAAAACACCATGTTATCAAGGCAGTGCCCACTGCGAGTGATTGGAGCTTAAGCTCACTGGGAAAATTCTGGAAGCCAGTGTAGAACACAACCTCTGAAATTATGTCCCCACCTTAAGGGGTGAGGGAGCTTGGCTATTTATCACCAGTTCCATCTGCTGCTGGTTGAGGGCTCTTCCTGGGAGGGTTAATCCCAGCACTTCCAACCTGCCACACAGTGGACACCTTGGCTCCACACAGTGGGCACCTTGGCTCCAAGGGCCGGAGAAGGCTGCCAAGGTGTCTGCCTCACCGTGTGGGATGTGTGGTGTGGGGGAAGTGGGGAGGTTATGGTGGAGGGTGTGGAGGGGCAGGGGGAGAAGAATGTGGAAGAAAACTAAGCAGAGGTCAGGGGGAGGAGAACACAGAGGCCGGCTTCACCTGCACAGTGGACAGTCACACAGGCCTTTCAGCAAGCCTGACATCACCTGCAGTCAGACCCTGTGTTCCTGTTTAAACCGCAGAAATTAAGCAATATGGCAGGGAAGTTGACAAGTGAGGTAAACAGCTGCCACCAGTCTGTCTTGTTTCATCAGTATGAAATAAAAGTAATTGGAAGCCAATTTGTTTCTGCTTTCTTTCATCTGCATGTTCATATCGATAGCTCTTTTCACAGTTCCCCCAGTGACAGCCCCGTGAAACCGGCCACAGCATTTCCTGAGGACCCTCCCTCCACGATCGCTGAGTTTGGGTTATAATCTCCCAAATCACGCTGAACTGACAGAGGCTCTTCAGGGCTTTTCCTGGATGACTCGCCACGGAAATCCGACCTGTCACAGCGAATTCTTATGAATAAAAGGGGATTTAAATCAACATCATGAAGGAGTGGAGTGTGTTCCTGCACCCTTAAAAGGCAGAACACAGAGAGATGGTGACTCCAGAGGATACAGAGACAATCTGCTTTGGAATTCAGATTGAAGACAAAACAGAGGTTCGTATGAAAGATTTAAATATTTTTAAAAGGAATTATGATGGAAACAAACATTCTAGTTTACAGGGAGATAAATTTCTTCTCTTGTTTAAATTACCTTCAAATGTTTTAACACAATATAGCCCTGTCTCCTAGAGATTTACATGTCACAGATTTGCCTTTTGCTTCAGTCTACGTGGCCTGTGCTCACATAGCTATAGATCAACCCTGATGAAGAAGTCCTTGCAGGGAACGGGGAGGTGGTGTCCACGTCTACAGCTCAAGTCCCGACGATAAAGGCAGCCAGAGGACCAGCTCAGATCCCTAGTGCAGAATCAGCAGAGATTTGTGACTCAGAGCCTGCCTCTCTGACACTTCTGAAGTTCTGACACTGCTTTCAAAGGGGCTGACAGGTTTGCATGGCGTGTGTCTGGCAGAGTCATTTTCAGGCCACAGAGCCACTTCCTAATGATTTAAAGGAATGTGACGTACTCAAGGCAAACTGCCTCTTATGCAGTATTTCTTGATACTCCTGCTAATTTCTTATGAAAATACAAGCTTATATTTTTTCTTAGTTTGCAAAATGGCAGACTACAAAATATGTTATGAGAGGAGCTCTTGCTCTCCAAGGGCTCTCTGCTTATTTGATCTTTCCTGTTCTCAATTCACCTTCTTCCCAAAGAGGAGAGAAGACGGGGAGATTCTCCTTCCTGGAGTCGACCTCAAAGGCCCATCTTATCTGCAGTGGCCACCGCTCTGCTAGACAGGTCACTATGATAGTGATCACAGCCACTTAAGATGAGCAAAAGTATTATAAGAGCTGAAAAAATGAGAGAAACAGAGGGTTCTGCTTCACGATTTAATGTAATCTTATCATAATCTGAAAATAAATTGAAGATTCCCTTAGCCACTGTACAACACACACTTCCTAAACACTGATATTTTCCAGCATTTAGAGCAACTTGAGAATGTGCCTAATTTTATCTCCTCATTGTCCCTGGTTTAGGAATGACATTTGGCTCATGTTCTAGGAAACATCTCTGTTCTCACTTTTTAATTTAACAAAAGGTAACATCCAACAGTTTCTAACTTTCTTCTGGGTCAAAAAATAACAGTAATAGAATAATCTCTGAACACTGATCATAACAGCCAAATAAGAATTATAGGAAAGCTTAGTGGCATAAAAGCCAGCACAGGAAGGTGATACATTCGACAAGGACTTCACTACTCTATTTCCCAAGCTTTACGATGGAAGTATTCAGAAGAACATTTCTTGGAAGTATTCAGAACATCAACTCTTTGGATTTAATGGATTTATATTCTTGGAAAAAAAGAATAGGATGACTTTGGAAGATAGACTCAACTTCACCTCCATTTGCTGAGTTAAAAAGAAAGTCGGTGAAATATCGGTGTTACTATGTGGTTTCCATGGAAGCGTCAGTGTGGGGCTGCTACCTGAGGATGCTGACAACACCATTTACCAGTTAGAGCATTACCCGTGATAGAAAGAAAGGCTTTTGCTCTGGCTGGTTCAAAAGTGCTCCCTCTCAGCGTTGCCTCACAGACGTACATCCCGGTGTCCGAAGATGTGGGGTTGCTGATGGTGAGGTGTCTCCCAAAGCTGTGGAGCCCGCTGGTGATTCTCACCCCGTTTCTCTTCCAGTTCACGCTCAGCTCTTCAACAGGCCTGTGAGAATGAAGGGTGTTAGTGACAATAATTGTGAATCATGTAGATGGCAATAATAATAACTTCAGGCCCATTCAGCACAAGCTCGACAAAGCTAATTCTACCAGGAACCATGGCGGGTTGAACAATGGACATTTAAAAATCGATCCAGATATAACTCTACTCCCTTACAGCATGCATCAAGGATACATTATGCTCAAGGGCTATTGAGCAAGGATAGCTAATTGCAGCAGCAATGGACCATAAGTGCTAATGATTCCATTTGCTCAGGAAAAGAATGTTTAAAATAAATACTACTAGGGGACACGGCTACACGGGAGGTGTGATCATGGGAATCAATTCTGGAGCAATCACTAACTAGGCCGAGAACACCCAGGACTACAGAGGAAAAGAGGAATTAACTCTTTCCTTTGCACCCAAAGGCCTCAACTCCTCTCCTCCTCAGCTAGAATCTCAGAGGAGGCCCTTCACTATGACCCATAGCTAAATTGACAAGCACCAATTTCCAATATAAACATTACATTCAATATAAATATTCCAATACAAGGCTTGGGAATCCAGTTTCTATCTTCCCATACATGTTGTGCTCACAGCCCTGCTGGACAAACAAGACCGCCATCACTAGAAGAGCAAACTACATACAGAAGGTGTCTGTCCCCTGAAGAGTAATCTCACATTGTTATTATGGATTGGTATCCCCATGTGGAGGACTAGCTGCATACCTGGCATTGGCTATGCATTCCAAGGTGACCTCACTGGACCCAGCTACCACACTTCTGTTGCCCGGAGGAATCACAATGACGGGGGCCATGGTTTCGGGTGTGCCAACATCTCCTGTGGTAGAGAAAGCAGAAGTCCATGACTCTCCTAAGTATGGAAGATATGAAGATTGGAACATGACAAATGAGAGATCTTGTCAAGCCACTCTGATAGGACACCCAGAATCTCACAACCCTACCACAATCCCTTATAAGAAGCCCTTCGGTGTGGTCAGACCGGGGGAGTCTGGGTTAAGCATTCCAGTCTTCTGATGGAATTCACAGCTAGTAAGAGTGAGAGTGTGTCCTGACTGAGAGCTGAGAGCCTCTGCTGCCACTCGGCATCTTGTGTGGATAGGGGGCTTTAAACTGTTGACCATTCTCCAAAATGCTTGATGACTTCATTTTTTTATTGACTTAAGACCTTGCTTATTGAACCTAGTCTACCTACTATGTTCAAGTCTGTTCAGTTCCACAAATAGTCCATGTGTGAGGCACTCTGCTAGGCACGTGTGTCATTAGAAAGCAGCAGGCTTTCTTATTTGGGCCCAAAGGTGACTCCCCAGAGCAAACACATTCAATTAACAAAGTGTTCCCTTATGTTAGTACACTTTCAATCCCTTTTTTTCTGAAAAGTAAATATCTTGAATCTATCTCTGTTTTGTGAGTCTCAAACCATAAATAATTTAGCTTCTACTTCTGGTGACAAGGGAGAAAAAAATATGACACATTTTTGCCACTTTTCCCTAAAATACATGTAATATCAAAATTAAACTACCCACAGTACACTTTATGACTGTGTATTTAGGGAAAATGAAGACTGATCAAACATTTCCAGAACGGAAATTTCAATAAAAGGTGGAGATGGCATAGACTGGAAATAAAAATAAGTTTAAATTACTGTGAATGCCAAAGGCTTCATCTAAATACTTCCTGCAGCAGAGACCTGCCACCATGACGAGCAGCTGAGGAGAACTCTGGCAAATGAAAGTTGCTAGCCTGCCGGGCGGGCTGGCAGTGGAGTCAGGGCCATCAACAGAGAACAATAGGAAAAAGAGGACTGGCCTCTTATCAAAACTAATTTCCCACAGCTCTATGTTCTGGCATTCACTGTCCAAGCAGTGTGTGATTTTTGAATTACAGGTTCGTGTGAATTCGAAAAAAAATAATGCTTAATTCAGGCAAAGCCAATAAATTAATTTTTTTCAACCTATAGATCGATTACGTTGATGTGAAGCTGATTTTCACGTATCCTTAAGTCTCCTGGAAAGCTGAGAGGCCGCCTACACCTTTCCCAAACTCTTTGCCTCTGAAGCCAACCCTGCAGGGCTCCTCTGCAGAGCTTCCTTCTGACACTCTCTGTGTATAAAATGGTAGAGATTGTGGGGCTGGTTATCAGATTTCTGAGGAGATGCCAGAGTGCAGGCACTTTCACGATGGGGCAAAGGACGGAAGCTGAATGCCAATCAGATTAACAGCCTGCCTGTCATCTGTGAAAGTTGCTGATGAGGAGAAATGACCTGAGAAGCTAATATTTGCAAATAGTTATGTGAAGTGAAGGAGAGCAGCAGTGAATGCGAAAAGGTCACTGAGCAAGGTGCTAATTTGGCATTAATCACCGCTCAGCCACGGTGGCAGAAGAGGAAACCCGTGCTCAGCACTTGTCACTGCCCGGGGAGGACAGTCCCCTGGCTGGTCAGCCTCCACTGCACGCTGACCCCGGGAGACCATGCTCGAGACAGATGAGCACCAAGGCCAAGTTTACGGCCCCTCGGGGACAAGTGGAACGCAACACCGCATGTGCCACTCCATCATGGGCTCCAGCCACACTGACAGGAAGACAAAGTAGTCCTCAACTGTGGTTCATACGGAACAGTAACTTTTCTTTATATCACACTTTCAGCACATACCAGTACACTCTTTCAACATACCCTCACTCTAGGGGGTCAACAGGACAAGTCGAGAGACTAGCTCGATTAGGGGCTGGAAAACGTCAGTCTGTTCTCAAACCCCAGCCTTCTGATCTGACTCCTTTGTTCTTTCTAGCGATGCATAAACGACACATGACACTTGTTGGAGAAGTAGGTGCAAGAGATACAGATGAAATGTAATAGTTCCTAAAAAGAGTATTTGTAACATAGACATGAGGACGCTGGTAAGGTGACCTTGACTTATGGAAACTACGACAGCAAGATCAAAGCCAGGTCTTCTGATTGCAAAGCCCGTGCATTTTCTATTGAAACTGCTATAACAACTTTTCCGTAAAATACGTAAGTGCCAAGAATCCAGATCTCCTAATAGCAAGGATAGTGCTCATTATAGTACACAATGTTGGCACACTATCTTCTTTTAAAAAAAATTGTTTTTAAATTACAAACTTGTATGTATACATGGATGAAAAAGCACAGTATAGAGAGGCTTAAAATGAAATGCAACAATCCTCCCTTACCTCCCCCCGCAAAATATGAACATTTGGCTTGTCATTTGGCAACTTCGCTTCAGTTGGGTGGGAAACTCACTGTTACTCTGAAGGGATCCTGAAACTTAGAGTGCAAAAGTCTATTCCCCGGGGCCATTCATTCTCAGTGGAGGGGAATCCTTGCCTATTTGTCCATCTGTCTTCACTTTAGCTGCTGAGTATTCTGTGCACGGCAGTAGGGTAGGAAGCAGACTGTTCAGACACAAACTATTAATTAATCCCCCTGTTTTTAGCTGTATGTCATAACTAGCCCTCATGACCAAGTCCACTCCAGGTGTCCCCAAGCAGTGCCTCCTCCCTCAATGGTCGTTATTCCTCCAGCTGAGAGCTGCTTTCCAGATACTTGCTTCATCTCTCATTCGCTAACGGCTTCCTCTCCCTTCTTTTTGCCATGTGGACCCAAGGCTCTTATTCCTTTACTGCTTTTTAGTGGGTGTTGACTTCTTTTTTTAAGCTAGAGGAGGTAATGGATGTGCATTTTTAACCTGCCATGCTGACTTTTCCACCAATTTTTTTTCCACATTCAATTTTTAGAAGAAAGATGCAAAGAATAATATCCAGGCATTTTTAAAAGAATAAAACAGCCTCTTTATTTCTGCTATTCCATAGCATCTGAGATATAATAAGCACTCAGCAAATACTTAATGATTGGTTAATTTTTCATAAATATTCTACAATAATGAGCCACTGCTACATCCATCAGGAATACTTCCCTCTTCTCCAACGTGCTACATGAACAAAACATTTTTAAAATGCCACATGCCAATGTATTAAGAATTATTTCCAAGAAGAACGAAAACAGCACAGGAAGAGAGAAGGGAACTGTACTTTACCAGCCCCCACCTGGCCCTTAAACATTGTGCTGAATGTTTACAGTTACAAATGTCACCTCATTTAATCTAGCAAGCAGCCAGTCAGATAGCTATTATTATCTCCTTTTATAGATGGGAAAATTGAGTTCCAAAGTCACATGACTTCAAATTGTAGAGAAAGAATTTAAATAAGGGAATGTCTTCACCAAAAGTTCATAATCTTTCTTTCCCATAATGCTGTCTCCTCCTAATAAAAACTTTGGTTGTGCTCAGTTAACCAAACGTTAAATTAACTGGAACACTCCTTCCCCCAAGCATTTTCTTAATTGAGATTTTACTGTAGCTTTTTCAACTGAACATTTCCCAAGCTGGTTTTAGGTGGTTGGAGGTGAAGACATTGAATCAAGAAGATTTCTGCTGAGGTCAGCAACAAATGGGCACCAGGCAGCTTCAGAGCAGAAAGGCAAATGCTTCAGATGAGGCCTCTTTGTAGTTACAGGAATAAAGAATCAAAGCAGAGGGAAACAGAGCTTAATCATAGTCAATTTCCCCACATGAACCCCCAAATCACTGAAGAGGCTGAGGAGGGAGAAATTGTCCAGGTTGCATTTAATTAAAAAGTGCATTTAAAGAATAGCAAATCTCTCAAATAGAAAAAAAAAAGTTCAAAGTTCACCTGAACTGCTAAGCTGTGGAATTACTGCAGATAAAGTAGGATAAGTGGAAAACACCCCATTTCATTGCACTCAAGCCCAGTGCTTTAGGTAGGAGAGCAAGCATCACGACAAATGGCAAGTCACACAGACTCAGAGTTAAGAACACGAGGATTGGTGGGAGGGGGTGGACCGAGACCCTGAGGGCAGTGAGGAAGTAAGACCAGCTCATGGCTATCTGCACACAGACCATTCTTGGCAGAGGGAAGAGCTGGGTGTGTTGAAGGAGCTGCATGGAGGCTGGTGAGGCTGGAATAGAGAGATATGGGGAAAAGCGGGGGGACATGAGATGATGCGAGGGATCAGTTCAGGTAGAGCCCCATAGGCCACGGTGAGAACTCTGGGCTTTATTCTACATGAGAACAGGAAGACACTGGAATGTTTGGGGCAGAGGAGTAATATGATATGACCTTGTTTTAACAGTTAAACTTTGGAGACTGTGGGGGAATTGACTGCAGACGGTGAAGGACATGGGGAAATCGGCCAGATGACTGAAAGACACAGCGATGCTCAGACTGGGGTGGGGCAGGTGGTAACTAGAGTCAGGACATTTTTCAAAGGCAGAAGCACACAGTTGGCTGATGGATTGGATATGGGGACAACTACAGTACTGGAGCTAGAAGATGTAAGTCGCCATTTCTGAGACAGAAAGACCAGAGGAGTCAAAGGTTGTGGGGGACAATTCAGTAATTTGGTTTTCGAAGTGTGAAATGTTGGAGGGATGCCTCTTTTTTTTTTTTTTTTTTTTTTGGAGGAAGATCTCTGCTTAAGTAGTTTCCGTGCTAATCCTCATCTTTTTTTTTTTTTTTTTTTTTTTTGACGAAGGTTGGTCCTGAGCTAACATCTGCTGCCACTCTTCTTTCTTTTTTCCTTTTTTCTCTCCGAAGCACCAGTAGATAGCTGTGTGTTGTGGGGAAGAGGGAGAATCCTCCTCCGCCTTTCCCTTAAGGTTCTTATGGCTGGCCAAATAATTAAAAGACAGGTTAGCAGGAGAAAACAATACCAAGTTTAATAACATGTGTACATGGGAGAAACCAGGGAAACTGAGTTTCTTGACAAATGGCGAAGGTTT